AAGAAGAATGAAGTCCTTGACAACTTCAATTTTTTCTCCATTGATAAGAATGTTGTTTATTGGTCCAGTGGTGAGGATTTTTGTTTGACAAAGGACTGGGCAGTGTTTTGTTCTGTTGAATGTGAGGTCATTACGTCGGAATTTATTTTTACAGCACATAACAACATAATCCTTTCCTTTTGCATGTATACACTTATTTTGTATATCTATGCTCATCTGGAGTCCTGGTGGGGTGCAATAGAATAAGCACTTGACTGCAAGGTCAATTTGAACTTCAAGGTTGGTGGTTCAAATTCGCCAGCTGCTCCTTGTAAACCTTATACAAAATCGCTATGGGTCAGAACCTACTGGACTGCACACAACAACGACAGTGTGCTTATTTAAGGAGTCCTGGTGTGTCACTGCAGGATAAGCACACGATTGTAAAGTCAGTTTGAACTGCAAGCACACAGGTGCTCCCAGGGAGAATGATGTGGCAGTCAGTTATTGTAAAGATGATACCCTTGGAAACCCTATGGGGCAGTTCCTCTCTGCCCTAAAAGGTGTGGATGAGCCAAAATAAACTCACCGCAGGGCAATGGGTGTCAGCATGAGATCTATTAATAGCAGTGGACACTAGTTGCCACCCACCATTTCTGGAAACTTTGCATCTCTGGAATTCAAGATTGTTGATTCTCTTATGTCTCTGACACTGTCCCTTCACTGATGCCTAGAATTATGTGTCTTGTAAGTGGGGGTGGTTTCAAGACGTCAGACCACAGACCTGGCTCTTTCATGCTGTGCGGGCAGACTGAGACATCTCCTCCCACCCACTGTTATGGCTTCACTCCCACACCACAGTGACAGTGTTGTAGTTGTTGTTAAGTGCCATCAAGTCAGTTACGACTCGTAATGACCCTGTATAGGGTTTCTGATGTTTGCAGGAGCAGAAAGTCTCATCCTTCTCCTGCAGGGTATATACGAGTATATAGTGACACAATGGATGACAGCCTGGGAACCCTGTGGGGCAGTTCTCCTCATTACACCAGGGGGCGCTGTGAGTGGAGGATCTATAAGAGTATATATGAGTATATCAGGACTGATAGTATCAGAAGAGAACATCTTGATTGTATCTTGATTAAATCAGGATTGTAATAGAAATTTAAAGTGACAGTATCAACATAAAACCAAACGACCACCACTCGTCTTTCTGTTGTGCTGTGGTGGCTTGAGTTCCTGTGATTCTGAGAGCTATGCCACTGGTATTTTGAATAACCAGTAGGGTCACCCATGTTGGACAGGTTTCAGGTGAGCTTCCAGACAAGGACAGACTAGGAAGAAAGAAGGACGAACTACTTCCGAATTACTAGTCACTGAAAACTCTATGAATAGCAGAGAAACATTGTCAGGTACAGGACTGGAAGGTGGGAAGGCACTCAGAATGCAACTGGGGAAAAAAATGGCTCCTCAAAGTAGAGTTGACGATGATGACGTGAATAGAGTTAAGCTCGA